TGAAACCTTCATATGATGACAACAATAACATCTAATGTACTGTACATGGAGAGGAAAGACAGCAGAGGGAGGAGAGGTGCATCATGGGAGCTCCCCCAGCATCAATATTTTGAATTCCCTGATAAGAAATAGTTCATTCTCTCCTAACAGTTTTATGTTGTCACAGTAGCACTCTGTTCCCTCAAAGTGACTTCTCTCAGTAAGATTTGTCTTCAGTCAAAGCAAACATAAATGTTCTTCTTGTAAATATTTAGTTCCCTTACAATGTTCCTGTTTCTATTCTGTAAAATTTAAACACTTTTTATTGATCTATTTTACACTAACTATATAACTTGTTCTTCATGTGCTTCCCTGTAGGTTTTGTGCAGTCTAAATAACTTCAGTTTGCCAGAAACATTTATTTGTTCCCTCAAACTTCAATTTGTGTATACTTTAAGTAAGATTGCCTAAATGTTCCCCCAACGGTAATGTTTAATTAGATTTTAATATTTTGCTTTCAAAAGATTTTTTTTGGTCTCTTTTCAATTACTACTTGTAAGTTCCCTAACAAGAGGTTTTACTTTAGCTGCAGGTTCTTCAGCAGTTTATACCTTTATAGACCAGTTTGATACTTTCATTTGGACTACTGTATATATATCATAGTATTCTTAGAATGGATTTTCATGGAAAACAACCAGCAGGTCACCACTCAACATGCCATTTCACATGTGACAGACGGGTATAGTTTCAGATGTAAATTTAGTTTGGGACCACAAAGGAGTCCAAATTTCTGTTTCTTTTACATGTGCTTTCATCTGTCCCTTTATCTCTCTGAAGCTTGTTTTAATACACCTAAACAGGCTTCTATTTTCACTCTGACACGAATGACTGACCCTCATGTCCTTCCTTTAGGAGTCAAATTGATGGAGTGTGAAGACAAGTTGCTCATCAAACCCATACGTGTTAGGGCGTCTGATCAGAGCAGATAGTTGTGATTAGAGCCATAATTACAGCCTAAAAGGCTAAAATCCTGTCACATCAAAGCCAGCAGGTCGTGTAGAGAGCCGACTGTCACACTCTGTGTGTCGCCACATCAGCCACATTTACTGATTTGTAGCTGAGTTATAACCACAACCACACCAGAGCCTAAAAAAAGCCTGCATCCAGCTGTTTTTACTGGAAATAGGGATTCAGACTGGAACAGGCAACAAACAAGCAGAGCAGGAGCTTTTTATTAGTTTATTCATTTAGTAAACCCCTTTTTGGTTCCATCAATTTTTGTTATTTCTTATTTCGCATTAGCTTTTCTGCCAATTTCTCCAGGCATTCTCAAGAAAAACAGCAACTGTTTGCAGAGATTTACTGAAACAACATGCAGAAGTGGATTGTTCATTTAAAAAAGGCAGCCCGTTTGTTTGATTTTGTTTGAATCGCAGCTCTGATGGTACTTTTGAACATGTTTCATCCACAGAAAAAACATCTTAAAACACACAAGAAATGCGTCAATTTCTTGAAGCATAACGGTAAATCAAGCATAAAAATTTACTAAATTCTAAGGAGTTTGAAGTTCCTATTTAATGTTGCTAATCTGTATGTTTATTCCTCAGCTGAATTTGAGCTTTAAAGTGATATTTAATTCTATGTGGACACAACTCTGGCTCATCCCTTGAGTTAGAGGCCTTTTTCTGCCTGAATGATTAATAGTTCAGGGTAAGGTTCAGCTGAGTGGATTAACAAAGAGAAAACCCATTCCTCTTGAAATGCTCAGCCAAAAGGGCAGGATTGAAAATGGGTGAAAATGCAGAAAAAAGCTTGAGAACAGCTGCTCACAAACACTTTAGAGGATTAAAAAAGGAGAGAAAATAGGACTTGATCGTCCACCTTATTCCAGTACCTTCTGAACAATAAGCTGACAAGTGGCCAGATGGTGCCATCTCCTCTTTGGGATGCCCGTTTCAGAGAGTTCAGACTGTAGAACCGCCCTCCGTCCTGGAGAGGATAGCAGTGTTTTTCGGGGGTTGTTTATACATCTTTTCTTTGCTTGGAGGAGCTTTAACATCATCTGTGAAAGCAGATGTTAAATGACAGTATTTTCAGGAATGTTCCTGACCATTTCTGTTGAATTTCAGCTCACATATTTATCTGAAATTGTTATTGATCTTGAATTCTTTTCAAATCTGAGCTGTGAACGCCTCCGCAGTGTTTAATCTGACAGAGCGGGGTTTTCCCACGCTGTACGCCCAGTTGTCCACACTGGCCTGATTCTCCTTCATTTGAGCTATTTCCCAGGTAAATAAAAGACAGAATCTGCTTCTAAGTCTGTTTTTTTCCCCCCACTCTGTTCTGCCACATGTGGAGGATGTGTTCAGGTGTCTCTGTACTTTTGAGTGCTTTCCGCTCAGCAGAATGACCTCTCTGTCTTGTGGCGACTGCTGGTCGACCATTCGTTTCCATGGTGACGGCGGTCAGCAGCACAGCGTGTGAAAGCAGTCGTGAATGAGTCGGTGGGAAAAGCTGCTCCCCTCTCTCTCTCCCCATCCCCACAGTGTGTTCCTCCCTCGTTCGCCCCTTGTTGTGGTAAACAAGCCTCTGCACCATGTGACCCCTCCCATCCCTTCGCTCCTTTAACTGGGGACCAGTTAATGACGGGGATGGCTGGTGGGTTACCTAATGGGCTCTTCACTCCTTTTTCCTCCCCTTTTTTTGGGGGGGCAGGGGGGGGTAAAGAGGAGGAGGAGGATGGAGGAAGGGGAGCAGGATTGTGGTCTTTTGTTGCTGTGTTTCGGGGTTTGTTTGGCTCCAGTCATCCAGAGAATCTGAGCTCTGTCTCTGTTAACTGTTTCAGATCCCGTTAAGACTCGGATCCGGATTCTGGGTGTGAACAAAGCAACAAAAAAGACATCATTAAATCAAACAAAACCAAAATTTTGTTCTAAGCTTCTAAGTGTGATAATAACTTAACGGAATAAGTAGTAAATCTCTAATAACACATGTTCGCAACCTTATTTTAAAAGGCCTTTCAGTCGTTAGAAATACAAAAACAATCCACACCACAATTCCCTCCAAATTCTCAACTTTTCACTAGTTTCTTTTTAAAAAATACCTACAAATGTCCACTATTAGTAGTTTTTAAATAGAGACACTGTGGTGTTTTATGAGGGATAAATCGTACCGACTGTTTTTACAGTTTTTATGTCTATAGTTTTTATAGTTTTTATGTCTGTAAATACATGGACACCATGTTCTTCTGTCTCAGAATCGAACTTCAATTTACACCTAAAAAATCTATAAGGAATTACGCAGCGCTTAAAAAATACACAAATACACCTGCTACAAATTCTCTAAAACACTGAAAACCTATAAAGTAACCTTTTAGTAATCAAAACTAATAAAATAATTATGATTATTTAACTAAAAACATCAGATTTTACAACAACATTTCTCATTAAAAGAGACCATGAGTTTGATTTTCAGCAGGAAAGTTGTTTTTATGTTATTCATTTATTTATGATTGATTGAATTTCAGACATAATAACCACAGATTCTATCTCTGTGCTTTATAATCGCATTGATTGCCCTCCTCTGTTTGTCAGACCTCCCGCGAAGACCGGGGTCATGCCATTGAAGCAGCAGCTGAGGCCTTTTGGCCCCTGTGAACCTTTTCTGCTCGAATAAATCAAATTCAGGTTGTTCCTCTCTTCACGGACACTTGAAACCGTTCTCTGGTCTTCACATGGATGCTTTCAAAGTGAACTGATTATTATTCCCAAAGCAAGTACATGGTTACCATGTTCTTCTGTCTCAGAATCGAACTAACTTCAATTTACACCTAAAAATCTATAAGGAAAATGAAAGTTGATATATTTAAGTTCCCCGTGCAGTGGGTCTCAATCAACACATTTCTGCATGAAATTCCTTTTTTTAATGCTTGATAGCTTTTTGTATAAACAGATACCAAATTTATGACAACCCCAAAATATAAAAAACACCTCTTTTACTCTTCAAATTAACTAAATCAGCCTGACAACTGAAAACAAGAAGTCTTTATCATAAAATCAACTCTAAAATCACAATTTTTATCTGAAATATACTTTGTTTAAAAAAAAGACAACAGGATCACTTCTAATCTTTTAATCAGTTAGTAAGTGACAGGTTTTTAAAAGCAAACCAAGAAACTTAATGATTAAGACACTCAGGCTTCGTTTAGGTGAGTTTTTGAGGTCAGACTGTTCCTGACAGTCTTAGACAGAAACAGGATTAAATTGATGAAACTGGAAACAGGATTACAACTGTTCACTGTTTGTGTGACCTCAGATCAGTCAAATGGGATTGAATAGGATCAAAGGGTTGACATCGACTACCAATAAAGTCTATTTATGCTAGATTTATGTGTGTTACAATTTTGGCTTGAATGGCTTTAATATTCGTGACAACCTATTAAATTAAATCATAAACATTTTTTCACAGCTGTAGCAAAACAAGCCAGCTGACACTTTTTAAGGCTTCAGTACCAACACTTGTAGTGGTTTAAATGACAGCTCTGTCGACTTTAAAATATTATTATAGTTTCTTGTATATTTGGCATAGATTGATGCCATCATATATTTACCATTGGGAAGCTTTAGCCTTTTAAACATATGCTGAAGTGTGTGATATATTATGCAGAATTGATACAATTCGAATATATAACACAATAATATATTGATATGTGACCCGAATTAAAGGCTATTTCAATTACAATAGAATATTAATGAGAATAAAAGTTTTTGGGACAAGACTCTGCAATCAGACTGCAAATCATTTAAATCTGCCGTTTACCCATTTGAGTTCGGCAGTCGTGTTCGCTTAACGGCAGAACGTATAGCGTTCGTAACTGTCGTGACTATAAACATATTGCAGCAAGCCGTATTCCAGTTGGTACACTCAGACTACACGTGAAAGTAGGAAAACACTACATTAAAGGCAGATTCCTCCACTTTTAGCCCGGTGAGGAGGTGGTTTGGAGGCGTGGGGCCGACAGCATGCTGTACCTGATCGGCCTCGGGCTCGGAGACGCCGCTGATATCACGGTGAAAGGTCTGGAAGCGGTAAAGAGATGCTCCCGGGTGTACCTGGAGGCCTACACCTCCATTCTCACCGTGGGGAAAGAAGCACTGGTGAGTCCAAAAAACCTCTAGACAACTTTAAGCTCACGTTAAACATGAAAAAACGCTGGACAAGCGAAGCTCGGTGTATTTATCTCCACGTGAAAGGCTTAATTTACCATCTCTGACAAAAAACTGATTTTGAGCATTTTTTAAACCCCAAACTCTACCTTGTTTTAACATTTTATCAGTGCAGTAGAAGCCTCCATATGAGTCCAGTTTTTTGGGAGGAGCTTAAAAACTACTTACAACTGCCCAAGTAATAGAAATAAGATGGAAACGCATGGAATAAAGACCTAAAGTTGAGTTGAGTCAAAGAGTCAGAGCAGCAAAGAGGAAGAGGAAAAGGACGAATTTGTCAAGTCTCTGCAGCTAATGAGTCCTAACTGAGAGGTTTTCTTTATCTAAAAGACATGAATGGTTCACACTCTGCTCTTTTTAAACTCTGACATAAACCTGTGAGAATATCCTCAGATTCAAGCTGCAGTCAAAAGAATGCAGAATTCCTGCTGGTTTTCCTCTAAACTGAGGCATCAGATTCCGGACTGGGTGAAAAAGGTGCCCAGTTTGTTGTCGTTGTCGTTGTTGTCTTTGTTTTTTTTTAGTGCAATAGCATCCATAGTGGCTGACTTTACCAAAAGTGTGAGTTCTTTTCACCCTGGTCCTGAGCAGAGGCTCACCGGTAGATGGAAAACTACTGACTGGTACATGTCAAAGTTTATTCAGGACACAGATTTGAAAGCATTTCAGTATTTTTTAATGGCAGCAAAATGTTCCAGTTGTTGTCCTCCTGGGTTAAAGAGACTGATTTATAAAGCATGAAGTAGAAAATGATCCCACCGTTCAGTGTTCCAAATTTGAGTCGACTTGTTTCCAACAGATTGATACAAAGTTTATCATCATTTTTGGAATTGATGGTAGAATAGAGCTCATTAACAGGAGATACCTCATTTTGGAACAGCAGAAAACCTAAATTCTTTGGACTATATTTTGGATCAGATGCTTATATGTTTATGTCTATGTATTCTCACAGACGGGTTTATGGCAGAGTTTTTGAAAGAGCAGAGTATCAACCATCCATGCTATTTTCAGCCAGTTACATGAAGAAAACAACACTTAGGACTCATTAGCTGCAGAAACAGAGACACCAGAGGGATGAAAAGAAGGGGAACATGGATTAAATGTGAGAACGGGAATGTTCAGTCGGACCAAAGAACCTCTCTTCTGAGCCCGATTGTTTTCCTCCATTTTATTCACTGAGCTTCATTCTTTGTACTTGTGGTCATGTGACTGCCGGACGCTGTCTGATTGGTGGACGTCAGTCATGTGATGGCGGCTTTGAAGATAAAACCAAACCAGCTTCCATTGGTTACAGATGATTACAGATAAAAATAGTTTTTCCCTTCATATACAAACTGAAGTTTTAGTCAAAATTAAACAATAAAACTACTCTGATTGGTTTAATTTGTCCAAACGCTCCTCAGTAAATGCAACCGAGTAGTTTCAGCCTGGCGCTCTGGTCCTAACGGTGCGTTCTCTTCCTCCTCAGGAGGAGTACTACGGGAAGCAGCTGGTGCTGGCTGACAGGGACCTGGTAGAGCAGGGAGCTGATGAGATCCTGAAGGATGCAGATGTGACCGACGTGGCGTTCCTGGTGGTGGGCGACCCCTTTGGGTGAGTCACCTCCTCCACGCATCTGGAGC